TGGCCCAGCTGCTATGGAAAATAGTATGGTGATTCTTCAGAGAGTTAGGTCTAGAATAATCTATAACTCAGAATTCTGCTCCTAGATATATACTCAAAATAATAAAAAACAAACATGTGAATGCAAATCTTGTACATTTTCATATAAACACTATTCACAATAGCCAAAAGGCAGAAACGACTTCAAATGTCTAACAACTGATGAATGGATAAAGAAAATATAGTCGTACAGCATGGTATAGCCATGGACCGTCAAAAGAACAACCAGATATGTTTTGGAGAAGGCACAGCCAGAGTGATCTTGGAGGCAAAGATGATAAAGCTTCATCTCACATACTTTGGGCATGTTGCTAGGAGAGGCTATTCCCTAAAGAGGGACGTCATGCCTGGAAAGGTGGAGGGAGAGTAAAAGAGAGGAAGGACCGTGCTCGCTTCGGCAGCACATATACTAAAATTGGAACGATACAGAGAAGATTAGCATGGCCCCTGCACAAGGATGACACGCAAATTCGTGAAGCATTCCATATTTTGGGGGTGGGCGGGGAGAAGGGTGCAACAATGAATGAATGGAATTCCAAAATCTCTGTAGATGTTCATTGAAATGAAAAATAAATAAATTAAAATATTTTTTTAAAAAAAAAGAGAGAGGAAGGACCTCAACCAGGTGGATTAACACAGTGACTGCAGCAATGGTGTCTGGTGTGTCAGAGATTGGGAGGATGGTCCAGGATAGGACAGCGTTCAGTTCTATTGTTCATTGGGTCACTGTTTGTTGTATTCAAGTTGATGGCACCTGGCAACAATAAATACAATGTAATGCTAATCAGACCGCAAATTCAGATGTGCTACAACATGCAGTGGAGCGCTGACACATGCTGCAGGATACTCCAGAACATTATGCTAATAAAAGAAGCCAGATACGAGGGTCACATGTATTATTCTGATTATACGAAACATCCAGAATAGGTACATTTATAAAGACTGCAATAGTCGTTGCCAGGAGCTGGGGGAGGGAAGCATGAAAAATGACTGTTGAGTTTCCATTTTGAATACCAGATAGGAGAGACAGTTACGCAACACAGTGGATGTGCCAAATGCCATTGAATTGTACACTCTGAGTGTTTGCAACATGAATTTTACCTTAAGTTTTTCTGTGTAGCTTCTACTTGTGTAGAAGACTGAGATATTTCTTCCAGTGTCTTCTGTAAATGAAGCCCTGCTAGTTTGGGAAGGGCCTCTGGTGGTCTGGTAGATAAGGAGTCGCACTGTCAACCCAGAAGCAGGTGGTTCTATTCCACCAGTTGATCTGCGAGAAAAAGATAACGTAATCTCCTTCCCTGTAATTTACAGCCTCAGAAAACCCACCACTGGAGGGTCAGTTATAACTCAACTGCAGTGTGTTTTTGAGATTGTAGAAAGAGATCCCCCTAGGGTCCAAGTAGTTGGAAACGTGGTCCCTAACTAAAGGGTCAGTGGTTCAAACCCACCTGGAGACATTTTGGAAGAAAAATTTGATAATGTATTCCCAAAGGCCACAACCTTGAAACTATGGGTTAGCCATGATTCGCAATCAACTTGGTGGCCACAAATTTGGTTGTTGGGTGATAGTGGGAGGTGTTTTGTTTCCCAGTGCACGCAAGGTCATTTCATTCTCATCATGTGACGGCCTTGGCATCCATAAATCTCTCTCTTGTCTGAACAAAAGCTGTCCATCCAATTTCATTTATGGTCAAAGTTACTGAAGTTCATCTAAAAGAATTAGCAAGCCATGGCCCCAACAATCAGGAGACGTTTTCTCTTGTCCCATACCTGATACTTAACACTTAAGTTGATAGTTACTGAGGAGGTTTGCAACCATTCAGTCTCCTGGGTTTTCTACATGGTTCTCGCTGTTGTTGTTAGGTGCTTTTGAGGACAATGCATAGCCACCCTTTGAACAACCAATCTAAATCCTGTCCTAGCCTGTGCCAGCCTCACACTCTCTGACACACTCAAGCCCACTGCTTTAGTCACTTCATAGGGCTTTCGAAGCCTGTTCTTTCAAAAGTGGATGACCAATCCTCCTTAGTCTGTCTTATTCTGAGAGTTCTACTAAAACCTGTTCTCTAGCAGTGACCCCCTCTGGCATTTGAGATACTGGTGGCCCAGCTTTCAGCACCACAGCAACCCACAAGCATAGAAAACTGCCAGAAAAGTGATAAATGAGAACAGTTCTAATTAGAACAGTGATAAAGAAGCAAGAATATAGTTTGGGGTGGCTGAGCCCCATTACCACATGATGACAATCAATTGAGGCTCACAGCAGACATCCCTTTAGAGTGGACATAGATTTCCATTCCCCTTCTCCCACTGTGGGACTTCCAGATCATTCTTCCCTCTTCTTCCTCTTCTCCCTCTCTCCCATCCTACCATATCAGAAACACAGAAAATATCTTTAAACACTATTTTGAAGACATTATTCGCAATGACTCCCATAAGTCTAAATCAGCTTAACTCTGGATGAAGAAGGCCAAAGACCTCAGTTGAATAATTTGTTCTCTCAGCAAATGAGGATCTATGGGGGAAGTGGGGTCGGGGGAGGTATGGCAGGGAGAAAGCTTTTACTTTGCAGGTAGGACAGAGGCAGAGGGAAGAAGCTTCTATTATAAAATCCTGCCAGCCTGGTGGCAATGTCCCAGCTGGAAGAAAAGAGAGGGGAGGGACTGGAGTGGGCACGATGAGCGAGCTCAGAGCAACTCTCGCCTCCCCATTGGCACCGCTACCTGCCCTGTCACCGCATAACTTTCGCCCTCTACCTGGTCGGAGTGACTGGCCTGTGCGCCGTGTCCTGCTGGCTCCCAAACATTTCTTACCCGCTCCCGTGACACTCCGCCACACAAGCGCAGGTAAGGCTGGATTCCAAAACTCCTGACTCCCGGATCCTGTCAGGTGGTCACAATTAGTGAATAGTGCCCTGGTCCTTGAATAATGGCACACCTGGAGGGCCTGGCTTTTTTTCTTTCCCACCCACCCCCAAACAAAACAGACTTGGGCTCTAGCGTCTCAGAGATAATGATGGCGGCACAGGATAGGGCAGGTTTCAGGGTGGTCGTTCATAGGGTCACTATGAGTCGTACTCAACTCAGTGGCATTTAACAACCATAATAACCCAAATAGGAGGTCTGGTGATACGTTCTTCTTCAGGAATGGCACTGGTAATCCAAAGGCCACACCTCCCTGGCAGTTCAAATCCACCAGTGGTTCCTAGGGAGAAAGATGGTCAGTCTCCTCCCCTGTGATCAACAGCCTTGGAAGTCAAGTGGATGGTCAGCTATGAGTCAGCTTTGAATCTACAGAGATGAGTTAGGGTTGGTTTTTGTTGTTGTTGTTTCATTTTAGTTTTAAATGTGGATCCAAACCAAAGATCCCAGGAACATGCCGGCCTCTGGATATACAGCTTTCTTCCATAAAATGGAAAGTGGCAATTTTAACCTCAGATAAGTGACCATTCAGGAACAGAAGGTGACTCTACTCTCCCCTGAACTTTGAGGAAAAACAAAACAAAATAAACCTTTTATTTGACTGCAATAATTGTTCTCCTTAATAAAGAAGGTTCCAAATACCAGATAATGTCTTGCACAAAGCTCCTTGGGAGGCCATGCTCTTGATCTGATAAGCCCTTTTATTGGACCTGTTTCACTCTTTTGATTTTCAGTGCAAACATTTTCTCTCGCCTCTGAGTTGCTTTGTCAAGCATTGCGATAATCTCTGAAGAATGCAAGCTCTACCCCTAACTTGGCTGGGTTCATTTGCTGTCGCCTGGAAGAGCCTAGACACACTTGGTGTCTTTGAACTCTGTAGTGTCCAGCAGAGAAAAGTTGAGATGTGCTTTCTAACTTTTAGTCGGGAAGCCACAGTGGGAAACCATAGGTGAACTTGGACAAGTTGCTAAACCAGTGGAAGCATCTACTTTCTACTCTCTAGTGCGTTGTTTTGTGGCATTGCATGGATTAAATGAGGTTATCTGTGTGAACAAGTCAGCCCAGGGCCTGGTAGGCAGGCGGTATTGATGCGTTTGCTAGGATCACTAGCTGGTATCATCCTGTCAAGCCATCTGAGAGTGGTGAAATAGAGCTGGAAGAGCTGGCTCCTGCAAGAGGAGATTCCTAGGCTTGTTCCCAAAGAGGGTCCTTCCTGCGAGGGTGGTTTGAAACTGAACTTGGCCGGAAAAGATGACAAAAATAGGACTGCGGGGGATCTTCTGCTTCTGTTAGCTCCTCGAGGTCTCATCCTGGTCTAAATCTTCAAGGTTCGCCTTTGACTGTGTGTAGGGCGCATTCTGTGTACTTGTCTAATGTTCGCCTCCACTAGAAATGGCTTCCTTTGGGCTCCTGGAGGAGAGAACACTGGACACAGCGAGTTGGGAACCTGGCAGCCTCTGAGTCCCTCGGGTGATTCAGAAAGAAGCAGTGAGCAATGTCCATCTGGCCAGCAGGAAACATAGGTGGTGCAGAACCCTTGACTCCTAATAGCTGCTGAGAATCACCTAGTTTGCATTGTATACAAAGTCTCTGTTTGGCTGATACCAGGGAGATCCAGTTGGAAGAGTCCACCCTTGGCATTAACCAGGGCAGAGGCTGTTCTCTGCAGCGCCCGTGACCATCCACTTAGGTTGCCTCCAGCGTGATTTCTTTTAGGCTTCATGGGTCAAAACGAAAAGGGCATTCATGTCCGCAAATCATCTGGGAAATGATTAACTTGGTTTTTTTGATCGTTACCACCTTGTGAGAGGACAGTCACACAGCAGGAGTGGAGGTCATGTTCTCTCATTTCCAACACCGCTGAGGTAAATGGGCAGAGCCACTTTGCGTCTAGAAAGCACTAGCCCTGCTATTTGGCTTTAAATGAAGTGTGGGGGGGTGGTGTGTGTGTGTGTGTGTGCGCACCAGCCAGTGTGTGTCCTTTTGTAAACAAAGAGCTACTAAGAAAATACAGCCATTTCCTCTACTTTTTTTTTTAAAGGTCTGAATTTCCTGCTGCTGCTACTGCTGTTCACAAAGATGCTTTTTATCTTCAACTTCTTGTTTTCTCCACTTCCAACCCCCGTGGCGATCGGCATCCTGGCATTTGGAGCTGCGGTCTTCGTGTGGTTGGTCAACAGGCCCCAGCCAGTCTATTCCCGTATTGACCTCAACAACCAGTCCATAGGAATTGAGGTAATTTAGCAGTCATTTGTTTCCCTTTCACTGGTCAAGCTTCATCAGACACAAACTACCTCACAACTTTGGCATCAGTCCTGAGGACACCTGGCGGTAGCATGAGAAAATACGCCTCTTAGGTCACTTCTCAATAGAAAGGCTCCAAATTTAGCCTTGGGTTACTGGCACATTCTCCTTTGTAATAAAAGTAAACCACAGTGAGGTCTTACAATGTCAGTAACTTAGATCACGGAGGCAATTCTGTCGGTGAGCAAAATCCACCTTATTTAACAACTAATAAGCTAAGGTCCTTGGATGGCAAAAGGATTTTTGCTCAACTATTAGCCTGTTCAAAGTGCCACCACCAAAGAAAGGCCCTACTTCCACAAAGATTACAGCCCAGAAAACTCCCCTGAGCTGTTCAACTCTGCAGAACAGGAGGGTAGAGAAGTTGGAATTCTTTCCAGAGCAAAGGGCTTTGTTTTAATTTTTTAAAAAAATATTTTGATTGGGAATTTTTTTTTAACATATACAGTTATGTTGCTAATCCAATGATAGTGTCTCTCAGGTGACATAAAGCCATCAGCCACTCCTCAAGGCAATTCTTTCCTGTGCCATTTTCTGCCTCTGGAAACTCACTTGGAAGTTCAGCTATGAGTCCGTTCTGACCCCGAGTTAATGAGTTGAGTTAAAAACAGCCTCTGTTTTTTGTTTTGTTTTGTTTTTTGTTTGTTTGTTTTTTAAGTATGAGAGAGGTATCTCTCACAAAAACCTAAAGTATGTTTTATGAGACCCTTTGCAGAATAAGATTGTCAACCCCGATCCAAAATGTTACGACAAATGTTATGTTAGCCCTTATGAGCAGAAGAACATTATCATTGAGATACCCTGGGTCAGAGAAAGGTAAACCAACTATTTCCTCAGCTGTGAGTTTAGTATTCACTCTTAATATTAGCAGAAGTCAAGCTGGGTTTCTCCACTTGGTACATTCTCCTCCCTAGTCAGAGAATCACTCAACTTCCTTTATTGTTAAGCAAACTGAAAGTTCCAGTAATGTTTTCCACATCGTTCCTTTGTTTGTTTCCATAAGTGTCTTTACCTATTCCTTCTCAATCCTCTCCAGTGAGACGGCATTCTTGTCTCTTCTGTATGTGTCTAGCCCTGTGCACACTTTTCTCTATTTCCTTTTTGGCTCAAGGGGACCTTTGGTGGCCTCATCTGTAGGGAGCTCTGCGGCTAACTCAAAGGCATCATCTGTCTGGTGGTTCAAATCCATTAATGGCTCCTCAGGAGAAAAATGGGAAATCTTCTTCAGTGTGATTTACACTCTTAGAAACCCACTGAAGGGTCAGCGATCAGCTGTTTCTGACTTGAGGACAACGAGTTGAGTTTGAGTTGTTTCTGACTCAGGAATCCTACTGCAGGTTACGAGTTGAGTTTGAGTTGTTTCTGACTCAGGAATCCTACTGCAGGTTATGAGTTGAGTTTGAGTTGTTTCTGACTCAGGAATCCTACTGCAGGTTACGTTGACTCTCCCCACCCTCTCCACCCCCACTGCCCTTTCTCCGCTCTAGTGTATTGCCACATTGTGTTGCTTCATTAGACTCTTCCTCTCCTCTTGAGAAACTGAATGAGTTGATTATACTCATTCAAGCCACCATTTCCCCTTAGTCCTTCCTTTCACCTCTAGAGTTCTTCATTTTAGTCTGTCAGTTTCCCTTTCTGGATGTGGACTCTGTGATTGGACCTTCTTCCACTACCATGTTGCATAAAAACTAGATGTGGAGAAGACTGAGTCTGATTTCTGCATGCTTCAAAAAGGGGAACTGTCCCCATCAATAATATGAATAGTATTAAACAAAGAGCTACGTGGTCAGACATGCCATCCTACACGCTCCTCCACCTATTTCTACCAATCATTGGAAATTGACTCACAGACTTTACTAACACTTGTGAGGTTTATTAGGGGAAATAGGTTGGAGAGTGGGAGAGGAAGAGATGACATAATGCAATTCCAGTTTTAGCCCAGAAGTCCCAAGCCGAATTAGCACGGCACAATTCCTCAATTAGGGACAATCCAGGATCATTGCAAGAAGCCTCTGATTTCCTCAGTAGTCCTGCAAACTTTATCTCAGAGCGGTTACAAGTCAGCTTTCCTTACCACCCAGAAAGCAAAACTTTTAACTATGGCTCCATCGCCAGGGTTTTTCTGGTTACACCTTGCCACAGTCTCTTCATGTCTCTCACAGTTTCTCAACTCTCACTGCACCACTGTTTTTCACAGTGTGAAAAGTGCTATCTTATTATGGTCCCACAGCTGTTGATGATTTGCAAGATGATTTGTGTGTCCACAGTTAAGGCAGCTAGAGACCATGCCTCTAATGGGAGATAACACAATGACTAGAAAAACTAATTTCCATGGGTTCTGACACACCACGTATCGTCCAGGTTGCTTGCAACTAGCCATAGTTCACTTCTGAATTCAGTAACTTCTCATTTAGCGTTCTCCTAATTGACTTGAAGATATGCTAGAAACTATCGTCAATAACAGAATTTCTTCCTAATCCTTAGACAGGCTTCCTTTTTCATGTAGGTTGTTCTTTTTCTTCATCCTAGACTTTCCTTCTCAGCATCTAATGATCCCTTTAGATCTGGAAACAGCAACAATTTTCTGGAAAGAAAATATTTTAAACTCGTGGGTCATATAGTCTCTACTGCAGCCGCTGAGCTCTGCTATAGTAACAAAAACATCTGATGTATATAAATATGTGAGAGTAGCTGTGTTCCAATAAAATTTTATTTATCAAAGGAGGCAGGAGGGTAAACTGGCCTGTAGTCTGCCATCTCGATTCTAAAGGTGCTCAGCTGAAAAGAAAAACAAACAAGCAAACTTCTTTCCTGTATGACTTTAGGGGGTTGAGGGGGAAAGCCAAACCAAAAGACTGGGTCCCCACAACTCAACAGAGGTCCCTTCTACTGTGGACCTCCTCTGGATTCAAGTCCTAAGGACCCATGAACTTGTTCACCCTTGTTACACTAAAGTACTCTGTGACTCACTAAGTCTCTTATTGCAGAACTTTACTCCACACCCATGCCTACACATGCCCGTGCCCATTCATGACCTGCCCCCTTGCCCTGGTCAAGGGTACCTTCTCCTATCAAGTTGACTAAAGTTAAGACTCTGAATCATCTTTCATTCTTCCTTCTTCCTTTCCTGCTGTATCCAAGCAGGAAACCAGACCCTGTATTTCTTCCCTGGAAAAGGAGCTTTTGTTTTGACATTTTGGCTGAACGTGAAAAACCTATTCTATCAAATCTACTCCTAACAATCCCAGAACACAGAGTAGACCTACCCTATAGAGTTTCCAAGCCTGAAATCTTTTTTGAAGCAAACCATCATATCCTTCCCCCTCAGAATAAGGTAACAGTGGGCTTGAAATATTGACAGCTAATTAGTTAAGTGTTCCACTGCCAGTGGTTCAAATCTAAGTCACTCAAGGGGAAAAGAAAACACTTGGTGATCTGTTCCCCTAGAGAGCTCAGCCTAGGAAATCTTATGGACAAATTCTACTCTGTCCTACAAGGCTCTATTAGTCAGAATTGACTCCATGGCAACAAGTGTGGCTCAATGAGACATCTCACAGACACCTTCCTTTAAGCGCTAGACTAAGTTACATCACTAATTACACTGTCATGGTGACCTGTACTTTTCTATCTGAAACTCACTATTTCTGTTTGTGAGTACTTTTATAATTGATGCCTGTATCTCTTCACTGGTTTTTATGTCTGCTGTTGGTTTAATACTAATGTCCCACCATTCATCCTCAGGCCTCTCCCTCCAGTTCCAGCTGACATTCCCAGCCAAACCCTTTGCTACTCCCTCCTTCTCAAACTCCGCATTCTCTCACTCCGACTCTGTATAATGTTTTCTTCCTCCTATTCCTTTGTCCATGCTATTCCTTCATTCAGGTCTGTTCTTTCTTCCATGGAAGCAGTATCCTCAAAGGCAAATGATATATTACATTAGATAAATCTAAAAGAGCTCTTTAAAGTGCTAAAAAGCAAGTATTTACTTTTTTTTAACAAGGATATACTTTTAAAGACTAAGATGTGCTTGACCCACATGATAATATATTCACTTCTTATGCTTCTGAAAGTTGGACAATGAATAAGAAAGACTAAAGAAGAAGAAGCCAGGACATTCATTATAGACAAAGATAGTGAGACTTTGTCTCACACTTTGGGCATATTATCAGGAGGGGCAAGCCTTTGAAAGGGGATACCATGCTTACAAAAGTGAAGAAGGCAATGAAGATCCTGTGAGATGGATTGATACAATGACTGTAACAGTGAGATTAAGTACCATGAAGATTGCATGCATGGCACTGGATTGGGCAAGATTTGGGCCTTTTCTACATAGGATCGCTACAAATTGGAGTTGACTCAAGGACCCCTGACAGCAACAGCCCTACCTCAAGGTGTATCTTTTTGTTAAATGTCTACTTATCTCTCAAGTCTCTACTGAGATACTGTTTGATTTCTGTAGCCTTTCTTTCTTCTTTATACAGAACTGGATACTTCACTTGTTCTACAAGGTATTAATTTATCTTTATGGCAACATATATGTCATAGTACCATATTTGCAAATCCTTCTTTTCTCTTTCTATCTCCAAATCCTAGATTATTGCACACAAGGACAATGCGTATGTCTTAAGTCAATTTTCATCTACATCATTGATTCTTAAATTTTCTATTAGAAAAAGAATGTAAAATTTTACATATTATCTCTCCAATGTGCATGTGTATGGATGATCTGCTAGTACAGTGGTGTTTATGTGTTGGGCTGCTAATTGAAAGGTTAGAAGTTCAAATGAGGCAGTCTCCTCCCATTAATATTCAGCCTCAAAAACCCAACAGAGGGTCATCATAAGTCAGAATTGACTCAACAGTAGTGGGACTTGGGTTTATGTGTTGGCGTATTATATACAGAAAACAAAGAGGCGCTGACCAGAGCATAACTGTGACTCTCTATGGATGGTAGGATTACAGATTTCTTTTTCTTTACCCTTTTTCTTTATACATCTGTATTTTCCAAAATTTCTATGACGTATACCTACTGTAATTTTGATATTAAAGATTGATTACACAGTAAAGGCCTAAACCCTGTGGTCTCAGAGGGAATTACATGAGTATCAGCATTTCTGTTCTCTTCCTTTTGACTCATAAAGGATTTGGACAGTGTTGGGAAGGACTTTGGCTTGGCTTTAACCTGGTCTTCTCTCTTAGGGAGGAGCACGGAGGGGTCCTCTCCAGAAGGACAATGACCTAGTGTGTCACTACTTCGCAGATGCCACGACCGCGTATGAAATTTTCCAAAGAGGACTTGCTGTGTCAGGTAAGTCCTGGCTATACCTATAAGAAGACCAATTGAAGAACTTGCCACATACCTCTTCTTCCCTCCTTCTAAAGTCTGGCTGCTTAGACGTGGGGATCTAAAAAGAATTGCAATGCAACATACAAAGCAGAGGGACCAAAGTACAGTCTTGGGATTGGGCCACTAGAAGCACTGAAAGGACAGACTGGATTTGGAATTTATTATTCCACCTCCAGACGGGTGGCTTTGTGCAAACCACTTTGTTCCAAAGGGAACCCATCCTTGATATTTCTGCACCAAAGCAGAACAAAAAGAATTTGTTTCGATTCTTGTGAAAATAATAATACTTTTTAAGAAAATTTTTATTGAGATTTTAATGAAAGTTTATAAAGAACTTGGATTTCCATTCAATAATAATACTTTTTAAATAAATTAATAGTAGTTTGTTTATTCAGCAATTTAAAATGGTAACATTTTCATTGGCTTTTGTATTTTTAATTTTTTCTTTATTAATCATATTTCTATTATAACTAGAATCAAGTCATTTAGCATGTGACATATAACATGTAAGATTTTAAAAGGTAGATAGAAATTCAGTAATAAAACTAAACAGATAAAATGACTTCTTATGTAAACAAGCATGAAAAATCTAGCTTGGTTACTTCTCTATAAAAAATGGACACTTCTGTTTTCAACTGGATTTGAGTGCATCATCCCAATTATATTTTTTTTCTCTAGTCAATAGATGATGTATGGATCATACATTAATAATCACTTGGGGACATCGTTCAAAGTATAGATTCTCCAGCTCTACTTTAGTTTCATTGAATGAAGATTCCCAATCTGTATTTTAAACAAAGTTTACTCCTGATATGTGCATGCCACAGTTGGCACTTGGTTTCTGAGCAGAATCTTTGCTGAGAAGTTGTGGAGGTGTGTGCTCTACAGATACCACACCTTAAAACAGAATAAGGTCTGAGTTGAATAAAGGCGAGGCTGTTTCCTGGTCAAGAGTTGGGCTAATAGGCTAAGGCGGATTAGGGCACAGAGTTTAATGAGGCTACAAGTGGTGCCCTTTGGGCCAGTTATTTGACCTGCTCCTTAGTCCCAAGCCTCTGTCAGTACCTTCAATGATAGGGAAGCAGTAAAAGAAATTTCTTCCACCTTCATCTGCTCTACCACCTATTGGATAAGCTTGTGGAAGCTTCTGCTGTCCCATGTCTCCATGACAATAGAGTTAACAGCAGTTGGAAAGGTCAGAGGAGTTGATACACCTAGCTTGTAGAGCCAAACCCAAATCAAGCTCAGTGCTGTGGTGTTGATTCTGACTCATAGCAACTTTATAGACCAGAGTAGACCAGCTCTATAGTATTTCCTTTTTTTAATTAATTTTAATGAAAATTTACAGAGACTTAGGGTTTCCATTCATTCATTGTTGCACTTTCCTCCCTGCCCACCCCCTCACCCCCAATTAGCTCTTCTCTTTGAAAAGTAAAAGAAAAATTCTTTCATTGTTATACAATCCCTTCCCCCAAGTCCACTCCACTATGCAGCCTTCTTTCTGGACTCCTGTTATGACAATACTTAATCATATATCCCTTTGTTCTCTCCCTCATCTGTTTCAGTGTAGTATACGTTATTTATCTCATCTTTCTCAGTCTCCCGCCAACCCCGATGTCAGTCTCGTTTTACAACAGTGGTACTATGAAGAAACCATAACCACTACCCAAGTAGCTATATATGCACACCCATGTTTATTGCAGCTTTGTTCACAATAGCAAAGAGTTGGAAACAACCCAAGTGCCCATCAACAAACGAATGGATAGAGAAGCTGTGGTATGTTCACACAATGGAATTCTATAGTATTTCTAAGGTTGTGAGAACTCTGGTGGAGTTGCACTGCCAACCCAAAGGCAGGCAGTTCAAAGCCACTAACTGTTCCATGAGAGAAAAATGGACAATCTCCATCTGTGTGGCTGAGAGCCGCTAAAAACTAGCCAGAGAATCAGCTATGAGTCAGTTACAACTTGATGACAAGGAATTTTTTGTTTTGTTGAATCTTTAAAGATTCTTCTCTTTCTGCCCTATAGCAGCTTAGTAGGTTTAAACTACTAATATTTTGTTAGCAGGCAAGCATTTAACCACTGCACCACCAGGACAAAACACACTTGCACTCAGCTTTCAGTAAAGAGTGGCTTTCACTAGTGATTGATGTCAGTGCAAAAGATCACAGCTGGAGGTGAGGTAGGGCCCAGGCCCTGGGCTGGAACCACAGCTCTGTTCACCTAACACAGCAAGTTAGGAAAGCTACTGCCCGAGAACCAACTTCAGAAGCTTATATGCAGCTGTTTGAGCGGGAAGAAGTATTGACACTTTCTGTGTGCTGTGTCCTCATTCAGGGTTTATCTCTTTAATAAAAAAAGTCCTATTTCTTTCCTCCTTCCCTTCCTCTTCCCTCTGTCACTTCATCTATAAGCTCCATTTTTCCTGGTTAGCTCTCTCTGAGTGCTTCCGCTTGGCAGGACTCGAGTTCCTCTCTGCAATTTGGCCAGATCCTCTGTGGAAAATTTCCTTCCTTTCTACATTGCTATTTATAACTTGACCTCATTTGCCTCACTTATGACAGCTTCTCATCCTCTCAGGATTGTTCCTTACCATGATGTCATGGCTTCTGGGGCTGAGAGAGCTATTGAACTCTAGCAACGGGGAGTCCCTAGACTTTATTTAATCTTAGATTTGCCTGAGACCAAACTAAAAAAATATTCACAGCCAGTACGTGTGTGCTCTTTCATTCTTGTAGTTTTTTTATGAGCATTCATGTCTCAGTACACACTCTCGTGTAAAAATGGGGAAAGTGTAGGAACAAATGATTCATAAAAGTAAATAAAGCTTAATGAATAAGGGAAAATGTTCCACAATACTAGCTGTTAAAGATATGGAGAGAAGAGTGATGTCTTTTTAAATCCATCAAGCCAGCAGATATTTTAAGAAGATAATCTTTTATTTGTGTGAGGGACTGGTGATACTTGACCTGTCACCAGTGGGAGACAGGGAAATTGTTTCAACTGCTTTAGGAGCAACGTGGTACTGGGTACCAAAGCCTGAGCTGTTCTGATCCCCTATATTTCCTGACTGAGTTGTTTTCTTTTAGAGAATCTGTTCTAATAACACTGTGTGGATCATAACAAGTTGTGGCTGACATCTAGAAGAATGGGAATCCCAGAGCTCTTAATTTAGCTCATGTGGAAATTACCTAGATCTGGAAGACGTTGTGCGAACAGAGCAGGGGAACACGGTGTGGTTTAAAATTGAGAAGGGAGAGTGTCAGGGTTGTATTCTTTCTCCACACCTATTCAATCTGTATGCTGAGCAATTTATCTGAGAAGCTGGATTCTATGAAGAGGAGTGTGGCACCAGGATTGGAGGGAGACTCATCGATAACCTGCATTATGCAAATGACACAACCTTGCTTGCTGATAGTGAAAAGGACTTGAATCACTTATTGCGGGGGATCAAGGAATGCAGCCTTCGGTATGGATTGCATCTCAATGTCAAGAAAACAAAGATTCTCACCACTGGGCCAATTGGCAGCATCGTGATAGTTGATGAAGAGACTGAGATTATAAGCAGCTTTAGTTTGCTTGGCTCTGCAGTCAACACTCTTGGCACCAGCATCCAGGAAAGTAAAAGATGTGTTGGGAAAGTCTGCTGTTAGAGACCTCTTCAAAGTACTGAAGAGCCGTGATGTCAGTCTGGAGACTAAGGTGCACCTGGTGCAGGCCATGGTCTTTGCAATCACTTGCGATGCATCAGAGAGCTGGACAATGGCTTGGGAGGATAGAAGGAGAATTAATGCCTTTAAGCTGTGGTGCTGAAAAAGAATATGAAATATATTGTGGACAGCCAGGAGAACAAACAGGTTCATCCTGGAGAGGGTTAAACCAGGCTATTCCTTGGAGGCAAGGATTCTGAAGCTTGATCTGACATACTTTGGACATGTTGCAAGGAATGGAGAAACATGATGTTTCTTGGAGAGAAACATCATGCTTGGGAGGGTACAGGGACAGTGCAGGAGAGGAAGACCCTTGATGAGATGGATTGACTCAGTGACTGGTGTAATGGGGGTGGGTGTGTCAGAGACAGTGATATTGGCACAGGATAGTGCAGGGTTTAGGGCTATTATACATAGGGTTGCTATGAGTTGCAGGTGACTCGATGGCACATAACAACAACAACAACATACTTCACTGGTTTTGAGTCTCTAACCCAATGTAAGACATTAGGTCACTGAAATCTCTAACTAAAAGAAGCCTTGGCATGGGAACGTTTACATCAAGTCGAGGAAGGAAGCAGGATACCAACCTATACATGGTGGAATGACCATACCTCTATAATGCACAATGATTATTGCTGCCCTCAGGTGCCTGAGGGTCAGTTCTGACTCATTGTGCAATTCTGTCTCACAAAACAAAACATTGCACGATCACACACGATACTCACAACTGCTATTACATCTGAGCGCGATTGTTGTAGTCACCATGTCAATCTGTTGCATTGAGGGTCTTCCTTTCTTTTGCGGATCTTCTACTTCTCTAAGCATGGTAAAAGTGACATGAGAAATAAGGAAAATGCAGCAACGGGCTTAAGCACCATGGAGATTTGGAGGATGGCATGTGTTTCTGCTGTACACTGGGTGGCTATACGTCAGCGTCTAACATGACATCAAACAGCCACAACAACTACTACTTTACCAACCATGTGTCCTTCTCTGGGGACTGGTCTCTCCTGATAATATATTATGTCCAAAGTGCAGGAGACAAAGTCTTGTCATCCTCATCTCTAAGGAACGTGCAGACTCTACTTTCTTTTTCTTTTTTTAAAAATTTTTAAAATTTTTATTAGTGTGTGTGTACCGTCAAATCAGATCTGACGGTACAGGAGGAGATTGTTCCTCCTTCTCCAGCAGAGCATCTGATGGATTTGAACCGTGCACCTCTGGGATTGCAGTACACCTTCTTGCCACTAGGCCACCAGAGCTCGCCTCAGACTCTACTTTCAAATAATTTTTTTTTTACATTTTTCTGGCAGATGTGGGCTATTTAATGTTCTTCACTAATACAGAAAGTAGAGAACTCTGGTGGCCAAGTGATAAGGAGTTGCACTGCCAGCCTAAAGGCAAACAATTCAAATCTCCCAGCAGCTCCTTAGGAGAAAGATGGGCAGAGTCAGCTACGAGCCAGTTCCAACTCAACAGCACACAACAACAGTAGTATTAAAAGTCTTTCATCTTCCTTAACAATTCTACGATTTAGGTCAAGTCTACCTTAGTCCTCAAGATTACATCTTTGCTTTTCATTATTGTATCACAGACTTGCCCAGAACAAGACATCATTAGATTTTTTTGACTGCTGTTCCTATAGGTGTTGATTGTGGATCCAAGTAAAAGGAAATCCTTGGCAACTTCAGTCTTTTCTATGTTTGTATCAGTTACTGACCCAATTGTGGAGCTTTTCATTGTTGTAAGGATGTCCTTAGAGAGGGACATCATTCTTGGTACGGTGGTGGGACAGCGCAGGAGTTGGGAAGGCCCTCTATGAGGTGGATTGATTCAGTGACTGGGGTAATTGGGATGGGTGTGCAATTGGCACAGGATAGAGCAGGGTTTAGGGCTCTTGTACATAGGGTTACTATGAGTCACAAGCAACGTGACTGCATATAACAACAACAACAAGATAATTTACACTAAAGACTATATAGTATTTGATCTTCATAAATAAGTGCTTCAAGTACTCTGCACTTTCAGTAAGCAAGATAGTCTCATTTGCGTATGACAGCTTGTTAAGGAATTTTCTAATCCTGGATAATTGGGAAAGGATTTGTTTTTGTTATGTGGCATCAAATCACCTGAGACTCATAGCAACCCTACGTACAGCAGCTCTGAACCCTGCCCTGTCCTGAGCCAGTCTCACTAATTCCGACACACCAACCCTTCATTGCCCCAGTTACTGTATCAATCCATGTCAGCCAGGGTCTTCCTCTCCCATTCTGTCCTTCCACTCTTCCAAGCATGACGTCCTTCTCCAAGGACTGGCCTCTCCTGTTCATATGCCCAAAGTATGCGAGACAGAGCTTCAAAAACCAAGGAGAAACTTAGTTTCAGTCTCTGTAAGAGAGACCTATTTGTTTTCTTGGCAGTCCATGGTATGTACAAGACTCTTGTTCCAATAGAGTCTGGAAATTATCGAACAATATCACTAATATCACACACTAGCAAAATCCTGCTGAAGATTAGATTCAGAAATGACTGGAGTAGTACATTGACTTAGATGTACCAGAAATACAGGTTGGGTTTTGAAGGTCGTGGCACTAGAGACATCTCATTGCCGATGTCAGATGGATCTTGGCAGAAAGTATACAAGAGGAATGTGTATGCGTTTTGTTGACTATGCAAAGACATTGGACTGTGGGGAACACTATAAATTGTGGCTAAGCTTGAAGGGAAGGCTATAACAATGTTAATAATGAACTATGTTTGTTAAGTGAGATTATTAATGACTTCTTTTCCCCCTTCTATTTTATAAATATATAATTTTTTATACTTGGAAGCCAAATGGAAGATTATTCAATGCAGACCAGCTATGATTACTTCTGGCCTTTTACTTAGCCATATAATGTGGGTCAGTCCTTTCTGCGAATGTCAGCATTATCTAGTTGTTGTTGTTGTTGTCGTCGTATATCATTCAGTTGGAACCAAATGATAGCCAATCACCTGGCAGGTTTCAGAGGCAGTAAAATTGCACGGAGATTGCCCATCTGTATCCCACAGAGTGGCTGGTAGATTCTAAACTCATACCCTTTTTTAAAAAAAAATTTTATTTTATTAATTTTGATGAACATTTACAGAGATTTTGGATTTCCATTCATTTATTATGTAGGTGAGATGGGCCTCTGAAAACCCTCCGGAGGGCCAGCTGTCAGTTCCAACAACAAGCGACCATAACTCCCTTGCACTAGGAGGCCACATATTCCAACACTGCACTACTCCTATTTTGTAGTTGTTTTTGTTGTTATTGTTGTGTGCTGTAGAGTCAGAACCGACCCATCGCTGACCTTCCGGTGGGTTTTTGGAGGTAGTAATTGCACGGGAGACTGCCCATCCTTCTCCCGCAGAGCCGCTGGTGACCTCAAGCCATGCGCCTTTGGTATTGCAGCACAGCTTCTTGTCACTAGGCCACCAGAGTATTGTCTAACTTTTCCTGGTTTTTGTTTTTAAATAAAATTTAATTTTAATTGTGATGTTAGTGAAAGTTTACAGAAAAGTTAGATTTTCATTCATTCATTGTTGTTCACTTCTCCCCCCAATTTTTCTGTTTTTTTAATTAAAAGACTTTCTCTGACTTTGAGAGTTGAGTACCTTTAAACTTCCTGGACAGACTCAGATTCTCACTAGATGTAGTCTTTGTGTCTTGACTCCTCCTAATTCCTTTATATCTTCCTTCGTCCAATTAGATATACAACTGAAACTTATTAATAGTCTTTTAAATGTTATATTTGTAGACAATGGACCCTGCTTGGGATTCAGAAAACCAAATCAGCCCTACAGATGGTTAACTTACAAACAGGTAAATTAGATGCATAATTTGGGAGATACATTCATTCATTTTTTTTTTACATTCATTCATTTATCTATCTATCTATCTATCTATCTATCTATTATCATCTATCTGTTTATTTATATTTATTATTAATTTCAGTAAAAATTTACAGAGACTTTGGATTTCCATTCATTCATTGTTGCACTTTTCTCCCCTCCCAGCCCTCCCCCCTAGTACACTACCCTCTGGGAAAAGTAAAAGAAAAATTCTTTCATCATTTTACAAACCCTCCCCCAGGTCCACTCCACCATGTAGCCCTCACTCTAGACTCCTGTCATGACACAGGAGTGTCACATATCCCCTAATCACATATCCCTTTTAAACAGTTTTCTCCCTCATCTGTTTCAATGCAGTATATCTTATTGAACCCATCATTCTCAGTCTCTCCCCAACCCCAAAGTCAGTCCTGTTTTACAACAGTGGCACCATGCAGTATTTGTCCTTTCGTGACTGAGATACTTCACTCAGCATAATGTCCTCCAGGGTCACCCATTTTGAATAATATTGCATGAGTTCCTTGTTTTTCAATGCAGCATAGTATTCCATTGTGTGAATATACCATAGCTTCTCTATCCATTCATTTGTTGATGGGAGGGAGACAGTTTTAAGTTAATGAGATTCCCTGAACTAATTTGACCTCTTTTGGGTGTTATCCTCTTCCATCTACCTCTTCCATAGGTGTCTGATGAAGCAGAGTACCTGGGCTCCTGTCTCCTGCATAAAGGTTATAAACCGTCACCGGATCAATTTGTTGGCATCTTTGCTCAGAATAGACCAGAGGTAACCATCTTGAATTTAGCTCAACGAAGTTACATAAAGTTAAATCTCAAGACTATACACTTAGCCCCAACCCAGCATTCTGATACTTCCTTAAGAGTTACCAGAGCTACTTGTAAATCTGCTTAAGTTGGTATTCCTCCACTTGAAAGAGTTATAGGTCAGTAACTCCTTAAGTCTCAGTTAAGGTTAGTTCTCTAGCTAGCTAGGAGACAACTCTCATTTCTTATTTTAATTTTATTTTATTTGTGTGTGTGTGTGTGTGTGTGTGTACCATCAAATTGGATCTGACTGGTACAGGAGGAGACTGGCCCTCTTCTCCAGCAGAGCATCTGGTGGATTTGAACCACGTACGTCTGGAATTGCAGTGCAGCTTCTTGACACTAGGCCACCAGAGCTCCCTCTGCAACTCTAATTTCTCAGCTCATCACTAATGAGGCATTTTGTGTCTTTGTGGTTGTAGGACTAGGCTACAACAGAAACCATAAGGGACTGGAAAATACTAATTTGATGATATATGATATGACATATGATGATATGGTTTGATATTAGAGATGAGACTTTCACTTTGTTTGCACGAGTAAGTCAAGGCACCCAAAGTCAAGCTGACTGGCTATAGTCATCCCCACAAAATGACTGTTATTCTTAACTCTATACAAGGAGTTGGGAGAGTTTTGTTTTTGTTTTTGTTTTTTTGTTTTGTTTTTTATTTAATTTAGTTTGTTTATTTTTCATTTCAATGAACATCTACAGAGATTTTGGAATTCCATTCATTCATTGTTGTACCCTTCTCCCC